TTTTTTTTGACAGCCTTAGCTAAAACACAACAGATTATTCAAACAGACTCATTATTATTCCTGCAGCAGCTTTCTGACAGCAATTGCGAAGCTACATCTCCATGAAGGAGCTTCACAACTACTTTTTCAAAAAATAACAACTGCCTCCAAATACACCCTAAATCGATATCATCTCATTGATACCCATAACTTTACCTCTCCATCACTTAACATCTAGTGTTACCAGTTCAGTTTCCTTGGTTAACATTTTTAGTTGCATATTGTGAATTATCACTATCTTCGTGACATCATTTACATATATATTACGTGTCCCATCATCATTTTCCACGTTGAAGTTGATCGTTGCCTTTGGTCCTATCATAGAGTCAACTCTTAGAGTACCTACATAGCCTCTTGGCATGCACCAATGTGATTGATGACTATCACCATTTTAAAGAAGAAATAGATTCATTTGATTTTTGTGCAACCCCTCACTTAGCCACTAGCTTTTGTAAGAAATGAAATATTTTTCTTTTAGCCAAGTTTTCTTCTTGAAATGATAGCCGGTCTCACAAGATGTCATTGCCTACTCCATTTTACATTTGATGCCCTTTAACAAATGTAGTTCCAAGCTATTATATCTTGTCTTCTAGTTTCAAATTTTTGGTCTTAGTCCATTGAGTTGCATACTCCTTTGCTTCTAGCATCGAAAATTCTATACATAAGTTAGAGAACCATTGTTAGGCTCTTGGGAGATTTTAATACATCCACCTCCTTCATACAATATGAACCACTACCATTTGGGGCATAAAGATAAACTCATAAGCATTGACAAATACACATGATGGGCATAAAAAAAGGGTCATTTTCCCCTTAGATTGGCCCTAAGAATTATTCATGTGTTCTTTGTTACCCTTGAGCTTTGACACCTAATTTATGATGTTAAAGAGATACCTTACCAAATTATGAGTACTTAGCTACCTATATGACTTGTAAACTTATTAAGTTGATATCTTTGGTCATTTATTGAGAATAAATCAGTGATTCTTTTTGCCGCCACCTCATCTCAATCTTTGTTACATAGGTCACAAATTTATTTCATTAATCTATTACACACACACACACACACGGACGCACGCACGCACGCACGACACACACACACGCACACACGCACACACGCACAATATTTTTCTAAGAACGCGACACACACACACGCACACACGCACAATATTTTTCTAAGAATCTAAGAAGTTTTTCTCTAGATAATGTTAAACAATTCAAGATTGCACATGAGTTTAAGTTAATTGGTTGAGTTGTTGGTTTTACAAAACTCCATGTTTGGATGTTATGGAGTTATCTAGAGTTCAAATGCTGAACGATTTTTGTGGTTATGTCACTTTGCACTATTTTATAACTACTTTTTTGTGTTTTTCTGAGTCATTAATTTGATTGTCATCAATATATTGTATGGCTTATATTTTACTCTATGATGCATAACTCATATTTTATGTATAATATTTGATATGCCACCAAAAAATTTTCATCATCCGACACGCATCTCGAGGCAATATTTTGAACAAGAAATATTCAAATCTTTATGAAAAAGTCATCCATAGCTCTGATTTTAGCGAAGTTATAATCAAATTGACCGACTCGATGGGACATACCTAATGATATCAAAGTTAGTCAAATCAAGCTCAAATTGCTCAATTCCGATATCATTAAGACACTCAAATGTCCATCAAACACAATCCAATCGAGGAAAGCTCTCCGGACCGTCCGATCAAAATGGTTCACATTTCTACATTAATTGCACCGATAACACTATAAATAGAGCCACACCCCTTACATGAGGGAGGGAGGCTGGAGAACTTGAGGCTTTGGGAAGGAGTTCAAGTCCAACATCATCTCTGTCATCGTCGATCGTTGTTGACCACCACCGACCGCCAACGACCACCGTCGGCCGCCGTCGATTACCAGCGACCATCGTTAACCACCGCCAACCTTCAATAACTGTCATCGACCACCGCTGACCAAACACCGTCAGTCGACGTTGTATCTTGAAAATCTAGTAACCATTTCCCGTCTGTGGGACAATGAGCTTCTATAATCATCAACTTATAGTAAATATTTATAACTGGGTCAGACCCTTTGGTTTTTTTTTTTTATTTACGGGTTTTCCACGTAAAAACTTATGATGTCATCACAGGTTGATTCATTTTCATCTAAGTGTGTGTTAAATCCTCGTGCAACATTAAGACAATAATCCATTACTCTACCGCCGTAAATTTTTCAGCACACATCAAAGTTAATAAAAGCGATATTTTTAATGTGATGTCAAAATTTTGAAGGTTATGTATGTAAATACATAAGTTTAGGTGTAGATATGTAAATATATAAGATATGTGTGGTGTGTATGTAAATGCCTCAAATTAAAAATAATGTTGATTATAGAATCTAGGAATTTGATGGAGGCTGTCTCATAAGTATAGGAGTTGACTTGTCTAAAATGATAAATGTTGATGTTCATTCTACCTTAACCCATGTGAATATGTAGCCGTTTATTGGTCACATCACCATAAATATTTCCTATTAATTTTCTCTGCCTGTGGAAATCTTAGTACCGGGCCTTCCGAACTTAGGCCTCGATGCTCAGTCCTCCGCACCTTCACTGATCTTTGTCTAAACGACTGGCGCTCTCATCCCTTTGACGGGTTCACACCGCGGCGAGAAAGGCCGAAAGCTATTTGTGCCTCGCTAATCCAACTAGCCGCTTTTGGTTGTATAAATATTCATGTATTTATACCAATTCATGCACAAGACTCATTTTAATATTTCAACAAAATCAGGTTCATAATACAATAAAATTTTAAATTTTAAAATATGATTCATACAATATGTTTACTTAACAAAATGGATTATTTATGATTTCAAGCTTGAGCTGTTTTAATTTCGAGCTCAAAAAGTGTGTTCGTGTTCGGCTCCTTTGTTTAGCGAGCTGAAAACGGGGCCAAAATGGATTATTTATGATTTTAAGCTTGAGTTGTTTTAATTTCGAGCTCAAAAAGTGTATTGAGCTGAACACGAGCCTTTCACGAACAAATAGTTGTTTTGACAACTCTAATCACGTAGTAATAAGATGTTAATGATTGTGGCAAGATTTAAAACATCATTTGAATCTAATTTAATAAATTTTATTCTATTTTCTTCATTAATACTTTTAACTAAATATAAATTTTGTAGTCTTGTAGTCAATTAAATTTTTTAAAAATACTACTCATCAAACACGAGCAAACAAATATTTATATATATATAATTGATTGATAGTATTTCGAGCCAAAACGAGCTAAATACGAGCAAACAAATATTTATTCTTGTTGTTCGTATTTGACTCATTAACTTAGCGAACGAGCCGAACACGATGAGCTAAATACGAGCAAACAAATATTTATTCTTATTGTTCGTATTTGACTTATTAACTTAGCGAACGAGCCGAACACGAACTTCTTAACGAACCGAACAAAAACTCACAAGCTGTTTACAAACAACGAACCGTTTTGACGGCCCTAATTCATACCCATGTTTTTAATGAAATTTCACTATTTCATGTCGGATTCTCTCAACAATAAGAACAAGTTCCTTGTACCCTCTTTCCCTTGATCTCATCGGGATCTCGATCTGCAGCGATGGGAGGAATTCTAGCAACAGAAACTCGATCCATCTGCTGATTGCCGGTGCGGATTCTTACGAAGTTCGATCTTATTGGCATCAGGTTCTACAGCTGGAGAAGGCGGTATGGGTTACAGAGCAGAGGACGACTACGATTACCTCTTCAAGGTTGTGCTGATTGGGGATTCTGGCGTCGGTAAATCCAATCTTCTGTCGAGGTTCACGCGAAACGACTTCAGCCTCGAGTCCAAATCTACCATCGGCGTTGAGTTTGCCACACGGAGCATTCATGTAGAAGACAAAATCGTTAAGGCCCAGATTTGGGACACTGCCGGCCAGGAAAGGTATTCTCCCCTCTCCCTTTATCGATTGATTCGTTCTTCGTTGAAAACTACTTGATTCGGGAATGTTTCAATGTGTTGGGGTTCCTGATTGATGGAGCTTTCTATGGTTTGTTTTACCCCAGATCGAACACTCTTGTTTTAGTTATTACTACTTTTAGGGTATGGATTACCCAAAGTTTAATGCCTTGTGGTTGATGATTGGTAGGATCGTGTGGATTTTGCTTACAGGATCTCTGTCTATTCTTCATTGCAAGGATTGAGCTTGTCTAAGAAGGGGCTTTTGTCTCTGTCAGTGCCGGCTTATTGGCGTCGTAGGGTTCTATGGTTAGCTTACTGATTAATTTTGGCTCAACTGTAAGATTAATGAAACGAGTATGGACATTTGAAGTTTTTGATGTCTGTTGAATCCCGAATTGTCTGTGGATTCTCAAGAGAAGAGATAGGGAAGGAAGAAAGAGTGAGATGTTGAGAGAGGATTGTAGGGAAAAATGCTATATCGTTCTTCTGGGATTGTAAATGGAAAATCCTCTTTTCCATTACATTCGTTTTCTCCCATTACAAAGAGAAGTTTTTTCCTATTTAATATACACAAATGATAATTACACTTAAATCTCTGGGGATCTTTGGCTGTTCTTTTGTCCTATTTTGACGCAAAAGTTTTACATCTAAACTCCGGTGCTTCCGGAGTCCAGTGAGAGCGTGTCACATGGTAAGTGGGTCCCATCTCTTTAAAAACCCACCCAACCAGTGTATTACAGTGGGACTCATTTGCCACGTGACAAGTTTTCACTGGACTTCTGACGCAAATTTGTGTCTGAGGTCCGGATGTAAAATTTTCTCTATTTTGACAGAGGCATATAATTTATATTATTCTCGGTGCGTTATCGTCTATTGGCATCAAATTTTACATTTTGTTTATTGTGCACTTCGTCGAGTCACATCTCTATCAATCTGTTTGGCCACCTTTTGGGAATTCACCCTAGGGCAAATTCAATGTCGGAGCTGAGTTTGGTTTTTCCTATTCAGGCCGATTTAAGGTGGTAAAATGACCCGACTTGTTGTCATTGAATAGACCTTCCTTTGGTTCGACACATGAGGGAGCATCCACCAAATGGTTTGTACTTATTGGCTCATCTTCGATATCCTGTACTTGGCAGCTTGCCGACTTTGATCCAATGAGTTGGACTAAAAAACCCGAAAAACTCAATTAGACATGTCTTTCAAACTTTATCTTTTAACTTTATCATCATTGGTTACGAACTAGAGGAAGAGAAAGACAGAGGAAGGAGTAAGAATTACGTTTTTTTTTTCCACGCAACAATAATCAGACAAACATATATGTTTTTGACAAGCATAGAGAGATAGGGAAAGGGATTGAGTATACTAATATGGTTAGAAGTTTCCTAACACTTCTCTAACTCTGCTCCCAAATAAAACATAATCATCTAACATATATGTTTGGTGACAACCATACTGGAGTGCAAACTTAGGGATTGTCTAGAACAGCTTTAGTAAATCTTTTAATCCAGATTTATTAAGTCCTAACAGCAGGATTTAATGAATCTGGAATTTAAGATAAAACTGAGAGGAAATGATAAGAAATTGGATTTTACTAAATTCAGGATTTAAAATTTCACTTTTTTTTGCTTGATATAGTTACGTTAAATTTTACTTAAATCTGTTACCAGACAACTCCTTAACCAGACAATCATATATGATTATTGGCATGCATAGAGAGGCAGGGAGCAGTACTAATTTTATCTGAAAGTTCTCTCATTTATCTCTACCTCTGCTCGCAAATAAAAGCATAATCAACAAACAGTTATGTTTGGTGACACCCATGCTGCTCGTGCAAACATAATTAGACAAGCATTCACATATATTGACATTCTACGAGAGGCAGGGGAAGAGAGAGAGAAGTATTACTAATATGGTCGTAAGTTCTATCGTTCCCACAACTAAAAACATAATCAACGGAACATGACTCCCATATTGCATATGCAAACATAATCGGACAAGCATATGGGAAGATTGACAAAGATAGAGAGGCAGGAGGGAGAGAAGTACTATTAATCTTGGTTAGAAGTCCCCTCGTTTTTCTTTGCCTCTGCTCACACATAAAAGCATAACAACAGATATTTGTATGGTGACATCCATATTGCTCGTGCAAACATAATTGGTCAAGTGGGCTTATATTAACATACATAGAGAGAGAGAAAAAGAGAAAGGAAGAGAAGTATGCTAATCTAGTTGGATGTAACCACATTCATCTCTGCTGGTACACACAAATAAAAGCATAATCATACAAACACATAGTGACACTAATACCTGCTTATATACTTTTCAAAAAGTTAATTCTATAAATAGTTTTCATTTACAGTTAATTTCCTTTTTATGAGTTATTATGTTTCAACTTCTAGAATTTAAAATGTGGATGGAGTTTTGAATCTTACAGTAGGACAAAATAAGTATCTGATACTATATCCAGCGGTTTTTTTTTTTTAATTTAAAACCAGAAACGCTTATTAGTGTTTTTGAAGTATGAGATATGTACTCGTTAGAAGTATGTGTCATAGTTCTATAATAATATTAATTTATCAGGCGCTGATCCAAAAATTGTGTAAATGCTGGTGTAACTATTTTGCAATTATTTTGGGAATGACATTAAACTAGAGTTGTATTCATAATATCTAGAAACATATTAAACAAATTAACATGCTGTAGCAAGTTTTCTTTTTTTAGCGGTGATGGTTGAAGCACACAGAGGCTCTGTATGTTTATGCAAATATGTATCTATATGATTTTGATATCTGTTTGTTAATGAAAGGAGCAAACTTGGGGAATGTTTTGATATCTGTTTGTTAATGAAAGGAGCAAACTTGGGGAATGTTTTGATATCTGTTTGTTAATGAAAGGAGCAAACTTGGGGAATGTTTTGATATCTGTTTGTTAATGAAAGGAGCCTATCATGAATTTCTAAGTTTAACATCATTTGATCAATAGAATTTTTATATGATGAGAGGGTGGGAGGGAGGGAGCACTTTTGGGTGTTCCTGGAAAGTTTTTTTTTTTTTTTTGGTTTATTTATTAATTTTATTTATTTATTTTTGCTTTTCATCACTATCATTCCAAATGGTGACTGACTTATGTGTCATCTTGTGAGATATGTGAGATATGTAAATGCATAAGAATTGTGTGCTACGTACATAAATTTCTCATATATAATACACACACACACACACACACGCATACAGACCACACACATTGCCTATGGCTTCTTCATTGCCTGGTAAATTATTCATAAATTTCTCATATATATATATATATATATATACACAGACCACGCACATTGCCTATGGCTTCTTCATTGCCTGGTAAAT